AATTATATGGTGAACGATCTTTCTCTTTCTGCGCCCCCAAACAATGGAATTCTTTGCCACTACACATCCGCAATATAACAACCACACAGGCCTTCAAAACTGCACTCAAAACACATCTATTTAAACTCTACTACTCTGACTGATTCTCCTCCTATAAACCGATAAACGTACATGGGTTTCCTTGTAAAAATGTCTGGTGTGGGTGGATGAATAGACCTATGGTGTTGTTTTGCTTATATGTTGTTTTTATTTCATTTATGTATTTTATTTTAATATTATGATTATGCCTCTTTGCTATATATGTACAGCGCGGTGAGCCCAGCCCTAGGCCGGGGTACCGCGCTATATAAGACCACTTATTATTATTATTATTATTATTATTAATGTTGCCTGAAAATCCTACACACCCATCTCATAATATAAAACTTTAGCCACATAGAGTCTAAGTGAAAGCAACAAATATTGATGTAACATAATTAAAATAAAGTTAATTTATTATTGTGTTCTATTTTTTTATGAAGACTGCAATAACAATTCTACAAATTATTTTTAATGCACTTCCAGAGGCCAGACCATATGTTAAAAAGTTAAGTGTTTTGTGATTGAAACAGTGTAAGAAATTCACACCAAAATCCTTTAATAAATATGCACAAAATTTGAGAAAGGAAAAAAAATGAATAAGCCAATGGTTGATTCAATAATTAACAAACCCTCAAAAATGCAATTTCATTTAGATAAGGTTTAAAATTGTAAACATATTTTTCAGTCTCTATGAGCTTAAAAACTTTCTTTGTATTAATCATGAATTCTCAAATTCAAACATCACTAAACTAACTATTCAAAACTTTCTTTGTATTAATCATATAATGTCTTTGATGAATTCTCAAATTCAAACATCTTTAAACTAACTTTTCAAAACTTTCTTTGTATTAATCATATAATGTCTTTGATGAATTCTCAAATTCAAACATCCTTAAACTAACTAATCAAAACTAAAGAAAAAAACAAAAAAAAACATGCTAGGTCCATTCTAAAGACAAATCACATAACAAACACTTTCTCGAGGTTGTCAACATGATAAATCTCACGAGTCCTAGGGCAGACAACTCTGCCATCATTAACCGCAGCCATGCTCTCTAATGCCTGGAAATTGAAATATATGAAAATAAAATAAGCTCTGAATGTCAACATCAATCTAAAGCACATGGAGAAGTTAGCAATGAAAAATTTACTTTTAAAAATATTGTTCAACTAGCTTAACTAAAGAACTACAAGTTGCTTTGCAATTGTTCACAATATTAACTACAAGATGCTGCAGGTATAACATTGTCATGATCAACAAGTCTCAGGATGTGATTTTAAATTACATTTTAAGATTAAGAATAAATACAGCACGCACCACAAGTACCAGTACTGGAAAACAAACAATATTTCCTTGTTGCCATCTGTAAATCTATTTCTCCTGAAAGAAACTAACCTGCACATCAATAGCAATTTTATTCACTATGGTATGTGTAACGAAAATGCTCATGCTGTGCACCCCCTTGTTGTAGACAGTGTTCTTATAGTATAGCTCACTTAGATTTTCAAACAAATTACTGAACAATGGTTGCTGCAGAATCCAGCGAGAAGAAGAATATTTGCTCACTTAATACAGGCACAGTTCTTGGCATTCTTCACAGTTGAAACCACTCTCCTTTAACATTCCCCACAAGTAGGCATCAGGTGGAGTAAGATCAGGGGAGTGAGGCAGGTATGAGAAATCAGTAGTACCACATGAAATGATTTGTCCAGGAACTTTTTACTGCAGCTTCACAATAGATTCTCAAGTGATATGACTGGTCACCTGTCCTGTTTGATGCCACTAAGTACAGATTCCTTGCATTACAGAACCTTCTCAAATCTTGAAGGGTCTTAGCCGAAACATTATTATCTTACTGTCCTGTCTTTCAATTAAAGCTTCCACATACCTTGTTATACTATTTCAAATCTTGAAATGATTCGATGACCTTGTCTCTGTAGTTTTTTTGGTGACAATGAGAGCCTTGCTGTCCTCATCCTCAGTGAAATAGTAGAGGGGACTACTAGACCATGTGCTCAAATGGCACATCATATCGTCCGCGGATACGGGGTAACTGTCTCTGGACAATAACACCTAACCGCTCAAAAATAAGGGAGTGAGTTGTCTGTGCAATTGATGAAGCCTTCCAAGTAAATGTGACTTTCGCCTGTGAGCCACACATTCCTAAAACAATATGGATCCTTGTACACCATGGCCAAAAATGCTCCAAAATACAACCTGTATCTGGTACCAAAATGTCTGGCTCTGTCAAGAATTGTCAAACCCGTATCCAGTACCAAAATGTCTGGCTCTGTCAAACATTGTCCAACCTGTATCCAGTACCAAAATGTCTGGCTCTGTCAAGAATTGTCCAACCTGTATCCAGTACCAAAATGTCTGGCTCTGTCAAGAATTGTCCAACCTGTATCCAGTACCAAAATGTCTGGCTCTGTCAAGAATTGTCCAACCTGTATCCAGTACCAAAATGTCTGGCTCTGTCAAGAATTGTCCAACCTGTATCCAGTACCAAAATGCACCAGTTTCAGTTTCAAAGATGTTCTTCATAGACTTCTAAGGGGCTGTAGAAAATGTACATGATCACATTTGTTGAGACATTTACTGATCTTATCCTTCCGACAAGACAGAACACTTCAAAAACGATGCAATTTTTTGAAAATAGGCAGCTGAACCATGTTACTTGGTGTAGACTTATTAAATCTCTGGATTGTTTTGCATTTTTTACAAACTCGGGCCCCCTTTATGAGTGTAAATAGTGCACAACTATGAGATTTTTTTCCTCGAATATGTGGCTATTTCAGTGGTGTTACTTTTGGCATATATTGTACTATTAGTATTAGTGAATTTACCTTTAATCCATAGATAAGACCACACAATTTTGATATATATGTTTACAATTATAGCTTCCCTAGCTTTTTATTCATAGTTAAATACGAATGCACTAGCCTTTAATCCATAGATCCGACCGTTGGGCAGCATCATAGGGGGGTTGTGCTCATTGAGTGCAGTTCCCGTAATGCTACAGACAAGCTTAGAATTGGTGCAATGTGCAAATGGTAGGGGTTGAGCTAACTCATTGAGGTGAGTGCTACACACAGGGCAGTCAGGATGACGAAGGTTGGCATCATCTTTATAGCAATGTCTGGACACACACACTTAAGAAAACATTGGACTTCAGATTTTTTAATCAAGTTTATATAACAGTTCACGGGGTTCCGAATTACTCATGAGTTCTGTCTGATATTGCAAATGTCCTACAATAATGGCCTTTAACATGGGGGAATTAACCCAAAGGATTTTCGATTTGACTATTTACATTTCTTAACCTTCCCTCGGGTGCACTTGATCAGATTGATACAAGCCAACCGTTTTTGTTTCGCACATGTAAGTGAGAGATGAAAGCAAGCTCTACTTATCGGCAGCTTTATGTTTTCCTTTCCCTTATAGGTCAAGGCCGTTTAGTGTGTAGAAAACACTTTCAGAGTGTACATTTTGGCTGTTTTGTTCAAATTGATACACCACACCTTTGCACCTCACTTTTTTAAGTTTGACAATTCTATTATTTTTTCCCCCTGGGAAGTGGCTTTTTTCATATTAGTATATCTACTGATACATTATCTTATTATTAAATAGTAAAAATCAAATTGATATGTTGCGCCCAAACGAGATATTTATACTGAGCATTATAGATTTCAGGTTACTTATGCCGTCTAACATGACGGGTGGTAGGAAAATGTTTCATTTTAAGAATCCCAAGGGTATAGAGGAAATTTTGAAAAACTATAATCAGGAATGAATTTTGCATTCTATGTTAGTTAAATTACTTAAAAGTTAAGTTATTTGACAAAATTTCAATAAAATAACCTAATTTAACCAGTAACTCAGCAATATCAAATTGATACACCGCACCCGGCCTCGTCGTGAAAAGAGCATGCCTGCTGGAAGGTTAAAGTTATGCTGATGCGGTAATAAAAGTCTGATTTACATTAAATATTTCAACAATGTATTCTAAAAACTTATGATCTTTATTAAATTTAAGAAAGTGTTTGGAAAATTTTGCTTAAATATTTTGAAAACATGCTGATGAATCCTTTCAATAATCCCATAAATCCCATACATTCTGAAATCTCATCTTTATACTGCAAGCTGAAATAAAGTATTTCCTATTGAACTGATCCTCGAGTCAAACAAAGCAAGTCTTGATAAAAAACATTTCTTTCAATTGGGGAAAAAAGTAATAGTAACAATTAGGACATTGAAAAGATTCAGCAATTTCGTCTCAAATTAGTAAAATACAAATCTGTTTAAAAATTCAAAATGAAGTTAATTAGTATAGAGAAAAGGATACAGTGTTTTAAGAGCTGATAGCCCAGCTTGCAATGTAGCGGTAAACACAGAGGTACTATTTAATTGGTGCAATTTGAAATTTTCCTGCCTAAACTGTAAAACTAATTTCTGCCAGTTGTTCTTGTCCAGCAGATCCTGCAAAGAGTATACAAAAATATAGCTTGCATGAATTGTATACAGAAATAATTAACATAACATATCATTGATTTTAAACTTTAAAAAAATGCAGTGAATCTTTTTCTTAAAGTACGGTATACAAATACTAATAAATAAAATTGTAATCTTTAAAAAGAGTAGGAATTTTATTTCTTTAAAATGAATTTTTATAGGTTATAAATTCAATTTTCGGTAACTATTAAACATTTATCACAAACATATTGGTAGAGCGAAGTCAAATATAAACTATTTCCTTATTTAGTTTCTGTTTCCACTCTATTGCATGCCTGACTTTGAGTTAAAGTGTTCAGGGAATGATCTATCAATTATGTAGGAAGAGTCAAAGTAAAGAAATAGTGGTTTAAAAAATGTAGATTAAATGTAATGAGAAGAAGAATATGGAGGATCATGTTTTAAAAAAGAAATAAGGAACAAAAGTTTGGAGGAAAATACAAAACAATGAATGTTTTTAAAGCAAACAATTAAAACAAGAAAAAAATCAAATAAAATGAACATAGCTCATCACAATATGTAGGGTTGGAATCTGTCTAGTCCATCACACTACCTAGGGTTGGAATCTGTCTAGTCCATCACACTACCTAGGGTTGGAATCTGTCTAGTCCATCACACTACATAGGGTTGGAGTCTGTCTAGTCCATCACACTACCTCGGGTTGGAATCTGTCTAGACCATCACACTACCTAGGGTTGGAATCTGTCTAGTCCATCACACTACATAGGGTTGGAATCTGTCTAGTCCATCACACTACCTGGGGTTGGAATCTGTCTAGTCCATCACACTACCTCGGGTTGGAATCTGTCTAGTCCATCACACTACATAGGGTTGGAGTCTGTCTAGTCCATCCCACTACCTGGGGTTGGAATCTGTCTAGTCCATCACACTACATAGGGTTGGAAGCTGTCTAGTCCATCACACTTCATAGGGTTGGAAGCTGTCTAGTCCAGCACACTACATAGGTTATAATCTTTTAACCCTATGAACATGAGCTATGATCCTTAAACCATATTAATATGAGCTATGATCTTTTAACTCTGTCACTATGAGCTATGATTGTTTTAGCTCTATCAATATGAGCTGTGTTCCTTTAATGTTTCCATTATGTTATTGTAATTTTAAACTAAAGAAGGCTTTTTGAAATCATTTATTGATATTATAACTTAATGAAATAATTACATTATAGGGGTTCTCAGGATTATCGGAACTAAAAGCAAGCATTCCCATCAGCTTTTGCACTTCTAATACTTGCGTTTGTTCTGCCGTGGAGAAATATTTGCGAGCATGTCTGAAATCATATATTAAAGAAGCTGTTAAAAGTCTTCATTAAGGATTGTCCAGACAAACAGAATAAAAGGAATTAAGGAATTAATTATTGTTTGACGTATTTATTATATGTAATAAAGTACTGTAAATTATACAATTGGACGTCATCACTTTCTTGGTGAGAGAGAGAAACAAATGAGTATGAGGAGTGGACACTGGAATGAATCAATTATTCCATCAGCAGCCAAAGGCCGTACAAAGTATTAGCTAACAATGTTACCACCAAGCATTGTCATATCGGTAATATAACATTGTTACACATTAAATGTGCATCTTTACATTCCAATTGATCATTTTTCAAATGACAGGCAATGGTTAACCTCCTTTTCACAATAGGTTATACATTTAAAGTTGCACTTTAACTGCACTACCCTTCAGTAATCTTACCATCACCCTTCTAACACAATTTGCCTGCAAGGTATAACCACATTTTCTTATGTTCCCATACAAGAAGTAAATGTCACCTGATTGCATCTAGGCGCTTGTCCTCACGAATGAGCTCTACAAATTCTTGCTTTCGCACATTAAACTCTAAGGTGCTCTGAAATTAAACAATTAATGTTAGTAGCCAGAACTTGTGGGAAAAAAAATGAAACAATGGAAGAGAATGTATTTTATCGTTATAAAAATGTTTTTAAAAGTTTCAAGATTTGGCTCCATATTATTACACAGTCACATAATATATATATGTGTGTGTGTGTGTGTGTGTATATATATATATGTATATCTCCATACATATTTTATAATATCGCATTACCTTCATTTTACGAAGCTTTGAACGATTATCTACACACCAACTCAGACATGGTTTTGTATCACTTTTTGCAAGTGCATCTTCAATTTCTTTGGATGTCATAAATAAATCTATATTTGTCAGATCCTGAAAGAATAGTGTTATTAAAAGTATATTTTGTAATGTAAAGACTGGTTTAAACTCATTAACACTCATTTCCTTATCATTAAGATTAAGATGAATGAAGAATGGCTAAAATATATAAACTCTGCCATTTTAAAACATTTTACATATGAAAATAATCAATTGTGATGTGGTGAATTCTCATTGTAATTTATATTAAATGTGTGAATATGTATAGTCAGTTATTTAATTAATAATGGCCCAATATTAAATAACAATAAATTTTTGCTCAAATAAAAACTTCTAAAATTAATATGTCTAAAATAAATTGAAAAAATGTAAAAATCATTTCATTGAGTAACCTGTTGACCCAGCCACATTTATGAAAATCAAATTTTAGTTCAAATACAATACTAACCTCTATGTTGGAATGTTTGGCCAGCTTGAGTGCTGAGCTATAGTAGCCTGCTCTTAAAAAATACTCCACCAGCATTCTGTCCAACCTATTTTTTTGCCACCAAGTTGGAGGAGTTAAGTCTTTAATTCCTGGAGTGTCTCGCTCCTGTAGATGTTCTAATCTCCTTTTTATCACTCTGGATGCTCCCAATTCTTCCTGAATGCTTTCCTCAGCCTAAAGATGATAATTAGAACATAAAATAATTATTTTTTAAGATCAACTACTAAAAAACTGCATGTGTCTCAATGAAATGAGTACAAGTCAAGAAGTACTTTTTACATAACTATTGTTTCAAGCAATAAAAAGAATTATCACCAATAAGATAAAATGGGTCGATTGTAGGCTGGTACCTTCGCTTTAAATGGGTAAATATAATTTTTTTAAAAGAGAGATGGAATTAGACATGCATCTGGGAAGTTTCTGAGCGGCTGACCAAATAACCTGGAATTATCTATGCTTATTCAATTGGATATCACAGGCACTTTGCTTCAGACTCACATGACACGAAAGCAGATTTTAAAACAAAGTTGCACAAATGTGCACAAATGAAACTTTGAGGCAAGGAAGGGAAATTCTACCTCTATTACTATTAAGACTTTTTTAAGCCCCCATGGTGTATATAATCTTTCAGATTAAGTTACAAGGGCGGAGATCTTATTTGCACTGCAAATTTAACAATGACACTTCTTTTGGTTTTCAAGCAAATATAGAAATTATCAAGTTTTCAACCATTCCCAACATTGATCATTAAATGAAAAATTTATAAATATTCTTATTTCAACATTTCATTTTTTTGTGCAAATTTTTTAAATAATGTTTTTCAATTTTTGATCCCATTCATTGACATCTATATTTCAAAAACAAAATATTTTTGAAATTTGTGTTAATTATGCACATTAAATATACAGTAAAGCACAATCATACACATAGTTATAGTTAAATTACTACATCAAACTCTATTTAACCTATTTATGTACCGGTATTATTGTGAAATTTGAAAAAACAATGAAACAGGCATGTCATCTGTAGGACTTTTGAACATGCAGCCAAGCATATGAATATGATAAACTATTTTTGAAGAGGTCAATGATTCCTTTCACACTCATGTAGTCTTAACTTTGCTCTTAAATGTTACTAAATGTTGCAACAGAGTAAGGTAAATTATTGCTCTTTGCAATGTGTATGTGACTCTTCCAGCTAAATGTAAATTAAAAAGTATTTAATAATAAATTTAAGGAAATATATATATGATTACAAAATAATTCAACTTACTTTTCTCTTGAGCATTGACAAATTGTCAACCATAGTTGACAGTGCAGAGGTAACATCTCTCACAGTTAATCTGGGATCTTGAAATTTCTTCTCCAATTCTCCAGCAGTAGTATTAAGTTTTGATGCTTCTCTATCAATCACTTTCTGTGATCCTCGAAACTGTTTGTTCAAAAGTTCATAAGGGACCTAAAACATAAATAATCATTTATTTATTTAGTGCAATAATAAAAATAACAATTCAAGTCAACTTTAAGATGAATTTATGTTTGTGAAGTTATTTATAAATGTGGTTTGAGGACAATACAAAATTCACGACATTTATTTATAACTATAATACACTCTTTGCGTAGTGTGGTTTTATGACTATCCCATGAGGCGATTTCCAAACTTTTTACTAGGTTTAGACATCATCCAGTTAACCTCTCACAAATTTTTCATGTGCTTGTAGATGTTTATATCCAAATTGTATGCCTCTATAAGTCTTGTTTTCTTCCTTTTTGAATAGTCTGCCTTGTTGAGAAAATGTGATTAAATGTTTGGGTAACCAGTTGCTTTTGGTGAAGAAAGAGTAAACAGTCTTAATTAAGTTTAATGTCAATTTCCATTTTTCATGGCATGAAATGAGCCTACTCAAATCTTCATTAAGACATCTTGCACCATTACCTCTGCAAGAGCATCATATAGCAATGTCATCTGCAGCATTAGGTGTCTTTTTCCATCTGCAATTTGTCTGATAAGTTTTTAATGATCATTAGGAACAGGGTACAGCTCAGTGGTGAGTCTAGCAACTAGGGGTAACCCTTCTTCCATCTCTACACTTTATGGCATCCTCTATTTTTGTTTGGAATGTGGGATTAGTGAGGCAGAATTTCTGCCAGCTGCACACAGTTTCAGATTGGCATGAATTTGAGATTGATTCTGCCTGTCCAGCTTGATAATCATAATCAATAAATATTTATACTTTAATGAGTAATAAGTGATGCTCTTATTAATTCCTAGAACTAGTACCTAACCTATCTAATAGTAATGATTAAATTAAAGTAGGCTTAATATTACTTATTTTGTAATTATTAGGCCAATTACTGAACTAATAGCCTCTGCCTATAAGGTTGAATTTAAATATTTAATAATCCTATATTAACTAACAACCAGTGAATTTTGTTTTCATTTTTTTTTAAGGGACTGGTACTCATATCTTGTTAATCTTTTAAGGGTCAACCATAATGTCATACATTGGGAAAGGGGGGTCATTATTTTGTGAAAATCTATTATGAGAGTGTCTAAACTGTGTGACAATGGGGGAGGGGAGGTCTAAAATGGGCCAACATAGCGACATTTATGGATGGCCCCTTATTGAAATAAAATTAAATAATAGATCCAGCAGACGAGAATGTCATTTGAAGTAAATCTTTGCTTCTCAAAATCAGACACAGAATTGTCAACAGTTTTGTTATTTTTGTGACTTCTGTCAGAGTGTCTTTTAATATTCTGGCCTTTCTAATATTAGGGCAAGTTATTCAGAAGTAATTAGTAAATTATTCCATACTACAAACAAGTTTTTAATATTAAGAAATTATTTACCGCTCTAAGCAGTGGTGTAGCTAGGATTAGTGCCTAGCTTTTGCCGCTCCCTTCCTCGAAACAACTCTAGTTGGCCAAAAATGACACACTGTCACACCTCAATAAAGGGTAAAAATGTGCCACCCTGGAGTGGACCGCCCCCCCCCCCGCTACACCCCTATTCGCAAGTACTCAATCACTCGACATGTGGTGTAGCTAGGATTAGTGCCTAGCTTTTGCCGCTCCCTTCCTCGAAACAACTCTAGTTGGCCAAAAATGACACCCTGTCACACCTCAATAAAGGGTAAAAATGTGCCACCCTGGAGTGGACCGCCCCCCCCCCCCGCTACACCCCTATTCGCAAGTACTCAATCACTCGACAGTGGACACACTGCTACACACATCAGTTGTGTAACAAAACATAGCGGTCGCCGCCCACAGTAAGCACACAGCTTGCAACCTCATGACCATTGAAAAGCAAAGCCCTGCCATGACAACCAGAGCGGACACAGTATGTAATTTATGCATCAGATTCAGACTTGACAATTACATAAGTAGCCTGCATGCACCTTTTAAAGATTTTTCCCTACTTGCTACCTGCTACACTCAAAAGAGCGATTCAAGTGCACATGGACCAAACACCATATTTTCAAGTTACTTTTTGGAAAATCCATAGAAAAAGAAGGTGCTGGTTTCCCACCCGGTGCGTTCTATTATAAAAATAAGCCCAGCTAATAATTAATACTAATGTTATTTCTAGGAGGGGCTAGTTACCCACTATAACTACTACTACTTAGACTACTAACTACTACTACTACCACTAGTCACTAGGCTAAATAAATTAGGCATAAACTTACTTATCAATTTATTATTAAAGGTCTCTAAGCTAAACCTACTGACTGCCTACAACTTTTAATAACTTTTATTATTATTACTAAACTAAAAACGAGACTGATTCAATAAAGTATTTTAAAATTTCATTCAATCATTTAGATACATCATTATGATCATGTATTCACTCAATCACTCATTCAGTGTCGAACTGTCCTCATTCATCAATCATAATCAATCATCAATTCCATCAATGAGAATATGACATATTTTATGAATCAATCAGTGATCTGATCTTACTTATATTATCTCATTCACACTGCGACGAGAAGAAAAAAACTTTTAAGATAACAACTAAATAAACACTATTTGAAAAGAAATCAAGTGAAGTGCAAGGTAAATTATAAATATCTTCAATGATAATGATATTAGACATCCTAAACTATATAGTATGTAACGGTTAAATTTCTATATACTTTTAATGTTGAATGCTCGAGAGTCTTGATGTCAGCCATGTTTTCGTTGGAAATAGGTGATGAAGGTCAAAGGTTGAGAAGTTCAGTTCCTTTTACGCCGGTGATCTGTATTAAGAATATGACAAATGTATATGGGGGACTGCTTTACTTTCAAGCCCTGATAAGTAATTAAATAGCGGAACAAGGTGTGTTCAGGCGTGAAAAAAAGACAAAAATTGAAACGAATGTTTCGGCTAAACGCCCTCTTCAGCAAACAATACAAAACAAGAAAAACAAATTAATTGAAATTGAACACCTTAAGTCTTAAGTTTTCCCAGATCTGAAAGTGAAAGGAGTTTTCACGATTTCACTGAGCAACTGTCCTTTGTTCCTGTCTTTTTTTTTTTAAGCTTAAAGATATCTTTTCTCACTATTTATTTATTTCTGTATTATGAATAAATATTTAAACAAAAACCGGTTGCTGATTTTCACAAACCGGTTACCTAATTATCATTATTTATCATGATATAAAAATGTTTAAAAATGTGTTTAATCAAGACTATTAAAATGATAATAAATAATCAACCAACAGTAAATGTAGGCTATTATAGTTATTATTTAAATTAAAAAATACTTTTAAAAAATAAATATGCTTTAAAAGGCATAAAATTGGTAGGAAAAGTGGTCACCTCGGCATTTATTTACGTTTTAATGCGTTTTAACTCGTTTTTGAGAGAGTCAAGGTGTTGTTTTTTTTTTAAAGGATAATAAAAGAAGGACTGCGTACAAGCTTTGTAAAGGAAATAGAAGAAAAATGTATATGGAAGCTTGAAACAGAAAGACAGTGTAATAAAATACTGAATACTGCACGAGAAAACTTAAATGTCACAAGTAAACAAACAAACAAAAAAAAATTTTTTTTTTTTTTTTTTTTTGAAAAATTAAAAAAAAAAAAAAAAGAAATAAAAAACAAAAAAAAACAAAAAAAAAATTAAAAGAAAAAAAAAAAAAAAAAAAAAAAAAAAAAAAAAAAAAAAAGAAAGAAACCCTTTCTATCACAGACAGTTAAATCGCACTAAAAAGTAAAAAATAATTTACAATTACTAAAACTTTAAAAAGTCTTCTAATTACCTTTGATATATATAAGAATGAGTTAAAATATACCTATCTGAAGCCTAGACTATATTTAAATAAAATACAATAAACATGTTGTTTTTTTTCCTTTACAAATATTTTTCCTCCCATTTTTCTGTTCATGATTATTTTTAATACGACCTCAAATAAAATTATCCAAGGGGTTAATCGCAAATTACGTCACATCAAAAATGATATTTTTAGACCCCTCTCCCCCCTGTCACAAAGTGTCACACATTTTACCCCAGCCCCCATTTTTAGTGTCACCTCACACCTAAAAAATTCAAAACATACATAAAATGTTCATATCTTAACTAAGATTTTATTTTATTCTGCAACATTTTCCCTTCATGGATTAAGATGTAGTATTATAAAAGAAAACTGACGCAAAACAACGAAGTCCTCCCCAAGCCGAATGTAAAATGGCCACAACAATTTCTGCGTAATTTTTCGATATTTGCAGAAGGTGTGAGCGACTGAGTTCACGCTACTTATAACACCTGAGGCAATTTTAATTAATATTTTTAAAATGAATTGAATAAGAATTTTTTCAAAATTTGAAAATTTTAGATATAAAAAAGTGTGACGTCACAAAATTTTGCGCCCCCCCCTCCACCCCTGTCAAAAAGTGTCACAAATTCTCGACCCCCTCCCTCCCTGAGTGTGACATAATTTGCGAATTACCCCCAAAGTAAGAAATCTTGATTTTATTTAAAAAAACATTGTGTCCTTTGTATTGTACGGTATATAAAATTTTGATGGCTCCTGAAAATTTGGTGCAAATTATCCTTAGAAATAAAAATGGTGTGGGCAAAATAGTGCAGAAATTGGAAAAGTGGTTCACAAGTTTTGGGGGTAAAATATATAGTTTATATGAGTACTCTTCAAAATAGCTAATACATATAAAAAATAATATAAATGTTTGTGTAAAAATAAATAAAACACATGTGGAGGTAATTAAGCGTTATCTAGTAACTGCAAACGGTAGTTACTCAGGTGGAGTAATGTTTACACCACAACCGCTAGATTCCCATTGGATTAAAATTGGACATAAAATTATGAAAATTGTGTCATATTTTGAAAGGCCCCTGTGAGAAAGCCGCAAATAAATGTCTATAAAAATAAAAATTCGAGTACAAAAGCAAAAAAACATAGCAACTTACAGAATTTTTTTAAAAAAAGAGGTAAACTCCTCCAAAATATTAAATTACACACATATAACGTCTCATATTGCAAAAATCTCTCTCTCTCTCTCTCTCTCGCTCTCTCTATCTGTCTCACTCAGTCTATTTTTGTTATGTCTCACTTCTTAGAAAGCACGCCGCCTATATAATATGAGAACCAACTCAGAACGTTCTTGTAAAGAAAGTCTAGAAATTGCGTTATCTAATGGCATTCTTCAGAATAAATAAAACGCATTCGAATGTAAACAACCTTTTCCCAGCCAAGAGAAGGGAGGGCAATGAAGGAGTGACACAGCACATTTGCTTGGTGTCGTAAATATTAATGCCATACTTGTGGGGGGATTGGTAGGTGCTAAAAAAGCGCTACACATTTGCTACACGAGGCGATACTATAACAGTACTGCACTCATAATATCCATTCCTTCGGGGCTAGGAGCCCCATTTCTTATTTTCGAATAAAAGCTATATAAATACCAGTAGGCTTAGACAACAATATAGATGTATACGTGAATCTGTGCCAATCTTGGTAGCCATACCCTTCAAAATCCATATTTAAATATTAATGGATTTAAAAATAATCATATTAGTTGCATTCGGGGCTGATCTAAAATTTTCCAGAAAGTTCGATATTTAAAAGGCTAGAACTCCTACATTTTCAATTGATTTTCCAATGGGATAAGACGGATAACTTTTTGATTTTAACTCCAAAATAGTTAAATAGATTTTTAAAAAGAATGGGTTTGGACTCCTCGTTGATGAATGTTAAAAACTCCCTTTGTTACTGACTATTTTAATGCCCTCTAAAAAACGTGGACTTTCAAATATACAGTTGTAAAGATAATAAAATGGAGAGAGGGGGCAGAACAGTTGTCAATGAAGCAAGACTCTTCCTACAGCTGCAGCCGATGCCCGCTGCCTCTGTGGTCATATGGAGGGATGTGCTCGTCGGACATTCTAGATCAGGTTGTTGCGACTATAGACACTCCAGATAAACTGCTGCACTTTATTCTGCAGATTACTGGGGTGATTATCGTGTCGTCACAACTCTATCTGCCGAGAACTATGCGACATAATTAAGAAGCCTCTTTATGATAGCCAATGCGGCAAGACCTGGCATCATCGCCGGTGACACGCTGCGAGACTTTTTCGTCCAAGGTCTGCAACCACCCGCCCTACACAGAAATTTCGAGGCGTAGGCCAGGCTACATACTGGCCGCTCCTTTGATGGCATCCGCAGGGACGCACAACGATGGATGCGGGAGGAATTTTCTGCCCAGCTCTCAGTAGCACTGTCACCTGACTTAACCCAGCTGACCACACAAATTATGGGTAGTATAGACCAGCAAGTAGCAGCAAGGGCAGAAAGATATCACCCTCCACCGCATAGACCAGCAAGTAGCAGCAAGGGCAGGAAGATATCACCCTCCACCGCATAGACCAGCAAGTAGCAGCACGGGCAGAAAGATATCACCCTCCACCGCATAGACCAGCAAGTGGCAGCAAGGGCCGAAAGATGTCACCATCCACCGCATAGACTCACCGTCCACAGCATAGACCAGCAAGTAGCAGCAAGGGCAGAAAGATATCACCCTCCACCGCATAGACCAGCAAGTAGCAGCAAGGGCAGAAAGATATCACCCTCCACCGCATAGACCAGCAAGTGGCAGCAAGGGCAGAAAGATGTCACCATCCACCGCATAGACCAGCAAGTGGCAGCAAGGGCAGAAAGATATCACCCTCCACCGCATAGACCAGCAAGTAGCAGCATGGGCAGTGTGGCATTTATATTTACGCCACCGAGCAAATGTGCTGGCTCACTCCCCAGCATGCCCCACATTCACGAGGTAAACACATAATCACAAAGCAAGTAGATATTGAACAACCATCATCTGACCGACCAACAGCCGACAGAGTGTCAAAAAGTAATCTAAAGCGACACAGTGGCTACGTATATGCCAGAAATTGTGTGTTAGGGTGGAACAAGATTCAAGCTTACTGGCATCCCGATTTATACTGCATCGCGGCCCTGACAAACATGTGTATAGATTTCTTGCTTCCGCCGAAGGTGCCGAGAAAACAGCCAATATAAAGGACCTCCTGGTAGGCTGTGCAAGATGACTTTAAAGTTTTCTTCTTCATGTCTCTCAAATCAATACTTGGGCATCAGCTGTTTTGTGAAACCTACATTCTTCTGGCGGTATTTTCCATTTTTCAAACGAGGATATTAGGCGTACTTCAGATGTCTCGTGATTGTTCACCTTTGAACTCAATTTGAACCATTTCTGAAATCAAGCTGTAAACGTTCAAGTGATATAGGCTACGTCTCATCAACAGGGAAACATTCGCCGATGAGTCTGCTACTCGGGTGTTTGCTTTCTAAAATCATGATGAAATGTTTAGTCAGAAGACTCGCTACGAGACTTGAGGGTTGAACATGAACCCTGCTTGGGAATCGTGGGTAAATTTTGCCAAGGCATAGTGAAAGCAGGACGATCAAAATGGCGACAATGCGCATGCCAATATATTTTAAGCTGCGACTATTCGCACTCGGGTACCAGAAGTGAGAGGTTGGGATTAAAAAAAAACAAACAACTATTTAAAATATTATTGTTGGGTTTGTAAGACAAAATGAGGTATCAAATGAAAGATAATTGAATGGACTATATGTTTGTAAACTGACTTCTTCAGTTTAACTAAAATAAACTACCACAAATGACATAACGTACTTCAATCGCAGCCGCGACCGTCCAATAAGTCTTGCCCCTTCTGCCAACTTTCCTTACAGCAGATCCTTTGGAATACCACCATCTTTCATCCACCTTACATTGCCTAAACAGCAAAGGCGCCTTTTGCTAAGAGCGTAGTATATATATACATAAGAATTTCGATTATATCACCTCCAACCCCCTTTTCCTTCCTCACAGCAGCTCTTATCATCATTTTCATTAACTATGCCATTGTGGTCTCACCAAACACAATCTTTTTTTTGGCCCTACCCCGACCAAGAATGCAACCAACCAATGTTCCCTCTTAGGTTTGTTGGTTCGTGTGCAAAATCATAAAGTTGTGTGCAAATTTTTACAGCATCAATTTATTTGTGGGCAAAATTTTCAGCCTACAGAAACTTAAGTGGAAATTAGCTGTGCGGTACTCAAAACTGCTGCGCGGAGTCTGTGAGATTGCTGCGCGGCCGCGCAGCTTAAAGGGAACATTGCAATCAACCCGGGTGATGAATAACCCTTTACTTTGTGTTTGAATGAAACAGTCAGAGTAAAAAAAAGAAGATTCATTTAAACAAGAATGTCAAGTTGGGCACTTTAGAGATGGGAATAGATACCGAGATAGAATTTGGTATATATTCCTGGAGACTGTAGGCTAGGACTAAGGAATCTGCAATGATTTTTCTATGACTTTTCTAGTCATATGCAGAGCCTCCAGTTGTGGTATTTTTAAACTATGTGATATAGGCTTATTCATGCAATATAACCAGCGCTCTATGCACCGAAGTTAAAGAGAGCATGGTTGAAAAAACACCCACAATATAAAAAAAAACAACAACAAAAAAAACCGATAAAAAACCAAAATATTGCTATTTAAATCTTTTTGTTTCGGACCTAGCCTGAAATTATTGTTTTATCGTGATTTTTGTAACCTGCTCTGGGCGGCAGCGATTGGAATGTTAAAATATTTTTTAAATAGCAGTTTCAGTATACAGCTCCCTGACAGAGCCTCAGATTTTTAAATTATTAAAAAAATACCCCCCCCACAAATGTTATCGCAGAATAACATTTTAAATAAATTTTATTTATTATTAATTTATTTAACGTTATATTTAATAAAACACTAAGAAAGTTTTAGAATTAAAACCTGGCTGAAATTGAATTACATTTTATTTGTAACGAAAATCACGCGACAACGCGAGATTGTAAACGCCATTCGCCTCTAAGTAGAAGCCCCGCACGCTTGGTTGTGAAAGATACCAACTTAAACTTCGGTATTCTGTACGTAGGTAATTCTGTAAAATAAAACGCCTATAATTTATAAATACGAAATTTTAAAATCAAGCCAGAAGCAGATTCTTCTAGTGTGAACCATTGTTTTGAAACAATATAACTTTGTTCAAACCCTACTCCTGGATAGAATGAAAACTAGGATATCCTCTTCTCTAGTTTGAGTAGTACTAATGTCTTTAGTCTTTGACTTTAATCCTTTATTTAGAAATATTCGAAATGGATTATAAAATTTCGAATGAAGAAAATACGTTTACAATGTTTGGTTTTGTCTTTTTCCTGCCTTGTTACGTTATACTGTTCTTTGACTAATTTCAAACTAGTATTTATGAATAGTATTCACAGTACTCTCTTTTTTTGTTAACCTGCTTTGCTTCCTTTGCAAGTTGAATTTCATATTCATTCTTTAATCATTATCATTCTGTCATTTCTGTTTGTTGCTGGGAATGGGAAGAAAAGAATAATTGCACACAATACTTAGGGCTACAATGAAAGCAATTCTTTTTGTAAACAAGCATAACGTTTTTATCTAGTTGGTAGTCATAGTCATACTTGTAGGGATTGTAGTTTTTTGATTTACAGGCTAGATTCTTATTACTACTTCAGTACTTAATAGTAACTGTAACTATGTTTCAGTTTCTGCAAATTTGGCATAAGACTTCCTAGGCCTAGGTCTAATCATAATTAAACAAAGAAATCAAGCAAAACTTTTTGAGAATAAATTTTTTTTAGCTCTATATCTAAAAACCTTTTCAAATAGGGCATTGTCATTGTTTTCATTTTTTTTGGTCATTTGCTGTAGTTAGTAGGCCTTTTGAATGCCCTATTTAATTGTAAAAGAAATTGATAAAAGACTCGACGGTAAAGTTAGGTTAGAGAGATGCTGCCATCTTGCTTCACAAGACCAGTTAATTTTTAAACCTAACCTGAACCCTAAATGTATCCCCTGAACCCTAAATTATGTATCCCCTGAACCCTAAATTATGTATCCCTCAACCTAACCTGAACCCGAATTCACTGCAACTATCTATAATAAACACACAAATGACAAAGACTATGACGTCATGGTGACATCTCTCCAAATTGGCCGACTCAACATTACTTAGTGATTAGTAGACTAACTAATTCTGATGTCTTATTTATCAGGTTAGCCTTACAGTACAGGAAATCAAACCTAACTAGGTTCAAAGACAAGTGTCAATGTGATAAGCATAATAATAATATTATATGAATATGATTGCATTAGTCTAGCAGGCCGAAAAATAAGACAGGGGGGAAAGCTATTAAGAAAGAATATTTCGTTACAACTTTTGCGGGCCTGTTCTAGTGAGTAAGCCTAAGCCTAATAAATGAAAATAATGTTCACTGCAGTTTGCTTACACACCACTGGAAAGTGTCCACTGGAATGTTTCCATTCAAGTAGATAATGTTATGCAAGTACTGTTATTTAAAATTTTTGGTGGATAATGGGTTGAGTTGGCGTAAGGCCAGCAATGTATTCCACGGTAAATGGGTCATGGAGGTTCCCCCAGATCGACTTCCGCCTATAGCGCCATTTCAAAAGATTTCTATATTTATGTTCGTGCTCGCTTATTGCAAGTTTTTTTTCTTAGTTTAATTTTTTTTTAAATTAGGGGGAGGGGTTGCCCCTCCAGGATTTCTTTCTTATTTTGGTATCGAAGTGATTATTCACAGAGCTGTGCGGATAACGCTCGCCGTTATTCACAGATTTCGGTCTGCCGATAACGCTAAACGTTATTCGCAGAATGTGATAAATTAAATTATGAATATAAAATACAAAGTTCGTTTATACACATCTCCTCGGGAGTGTAGTGGTCAGTATCTCCGACCGTCACCCAGCAGACATAGGTTCGATTCCCCGTCAGGGAAGCCTCATTTTTATAAATAAAATTTAAAAAAAAATATTTAATGGTTATTTCGTAGTGTTATATTATAATAATATTCTTCCTATAGCTTTCTTTTTCTGTTCACATAGTTTTATTACTATTTTCATATAGTATTGTTACAAGTTTCAATCTATTTTGTTAGAATGTTCATTCAAGTTTCGTAAAAAAACTGTAAACAACATGATCATGCAGATCAGCCGCATAAACCATGTTTAAGTCAGATACAGCTGTTCTAACTGTACATTGTGATATACTTTTAGCTCTTTTGACTGTTTAATTTTCTTTGTATAATTCCACTCATAGACTTTGACATCCATCTGTTTTTACTCTAATAAACACATACTTATTAATAACTTACTTATTCAAATATTTTAGATCACAGAGTTGTGTATTAATGTTTAGCTGCAAAAATATGTCACGTTTTATTTGTTTTATTTTATTTTCTAATAAGTATCATAATAAGTAGGGACACAATATGCCGCTCCAGAAATAGTTGAAATAACACTTAGTTATTAATAACACCCCCCCCCCAAAAAAAAAAGTTTTCTGCGGGCGCCCATGTATGCGTATACTGATTAAGCTAAGTAACTAAGTTCCCCCCCCAAAAAAAAAGTTTTCTGCGGGCGCCCATGTATGTGTATACTGATTAAGCTAAGTAACTAAGTATATTACTTATAGGCCTACTACAATTGTGTATATACTTTATACTGCATTATATTTAGTATAGTTATAGGCTATTATTATTATGCTACCGGTATACAGATATTACCATACTAATAGTAATAAATTTGCCCTTTTTTATAATTGATAGTGAAAAAAAATTAGATAATAACTCATGACGGTTCAGTATACTAATAGTAATATTAATAGCCTACATCCAACAATAATTTTTCACCAGTCTAGTTCTAATGCATTATATGATTATTCGCAGATTTCGGTCTGCCGATAACGCTAAACACTATTCACAGAGCTGTGTGGATAACGCTCGTCGTTATTCGCAGATTTCGGTCTGCCGATAACGCTAAACGTTATTCACAGAGCTGTGTGGATAACGCTTCCCTTTTGGTATTTAAAGTGGGGGAGGGCTCTCTCCAGTTTCCAGAAGATCATTTAGCTCATGGCAAACTCTATGAATGAAACTGATATTTTGCACATAGAAAATTATAATTTATGACGACTCTTTAGTGTGGTTTTACACCTCTAATGAAAATAATCTGGTTTAAATACCTTCTAAAATCATTCTGAAACAAAAGTTATCAAATATTTCCTAATCTATTGTGCCGACACCCATTTCTGATATAAGTTAAGCAGTAGTCTACATTTTGTTAAGTTTTAACATACAATGCAGCACAGGTATTTCAATTTTTAACCAATCAAATGACAGCACTTTTAGCGCACATACATCTTTTTTCCCCACCGTTGTTGGGTATTGGGGTATCATCAGCAAGGATGGTTCTTTTTTCATTTCTTTTGAAATGTGTAAGTTGAATTTTAATACAAATTAATGAAAAATTTCATTTAAAAAAAAAATGTCCTCTTAAATAATTACAATCAACATTTTGTAGGCCCAAACTTTTAAGTGTGAATCATTTGATCAAGAGAGTGTCTTCTTGATGTCCACCTTTTTTCATATATCCTGCTGTTTCTAATTTTAATTTATAATATGTGGAATAAAATGTGCTGTGAATCTCTGAATTAAGTTGGGTTATCTGATTATATTTCATTTTGAATTTAATAAATATCACTGAGGATTGCCTTTTTAATAAGTCAATTAGTATTTTAACAATTTTATTTTATAGGCTACCCAAGAAAGGTCTGCAGTATGACTACAGGCTAACATTTAAGGGTTTGGCACACCCCAAGCAGATTTTTGGACATTTTTTTTGGAGCTGCTTGCAACTTTATCTTGTAAGTTCCTACTTAAAACTGAGCTAACTGCATGTTTTATGTTCACATCCCAGAGTTTTTTTTCATAGTTTTAATGTAACGTGAATAAAACATGTTATTTATAGAATTGTTAAAGCTTATTTAATGTTAAAAGCAGAATGTTTGCTTATGTTATGTGGAAACAAAAATGTTGTATTGTAATTGCAGCATTGCCTGTGATCTTGTAAAGCTAGTTCACAGCTCACAATTGACTTCATTTTGTCCAGTACCAGTTAAAATAAAGTAGTGAAAGTTGTCTTTTCTTATGCAGACGGCTCCCAAGAAGGCTAGATTGGAGCCTAATACAAGTGAGTTTTGTGTGTTTGTATTGTAAAATAAATAATCAGATGTAAAGGTAATTACTGTTTAACTTTGCATTTTATATTTTATATTTGTTTTAGCAACCTCCTCATTTTAGACTTACTTTTTTTCCTTTAATTTTTAGTGTCTATACGTGGTCCAATCCCTAATGGGCCAATGCATCCACGTCCCTTGGTGGCTTTACTTGATGGGAGGGATTGCTCAATTGAAATGCCCATTTTGAAAGATGTTGCTACTGTAGCATTTTGTGATGCCCAGTCTACCCAAGAAATTCATGAAAAGGTAATTACATTTTTTGTTTTATTCACCCCTTCGACAGCTTCGCTCCTCTGCAGACATGCATAGTCTGTCCGTTCCCAAGACACACACTAAAACATATGGTGGACGATCTTTCTCATTCTGCGCCCCCAAACAATGGAATTCTTAGCCACTACACATACGCAATATACCAACCACCCAGGCCTTCAAAACTGCACTAAAAACATCTTTTTAAATTATACTACCCTGACTGATTCCCCTCCTCTGACCGATAAACGATCTTGCTGGCTGCTGTCCATGGTTTGCCTTGTAAAAGTTATGTGGTGGGGTGGGTGAATATACATTGCTGTTCTTTATTTCATAAATGTATTTTATTTTAATGTCATGATTGTCTCTTTTGATAAAATTTTTATGTACAGCGCAGTGAGCCCAGCCCTAGGCTGGGGTACCGCGCTATATATGACATCTTATTATTATTATTTGCATTTTCATTTTCATACTTTCCTTTTTTCAATGGATTTGTGATTTCACTAAACCTTTAAACCTTTTTTTAAAAAAAAAATATTTGCAGGTATTAAATGAAGCTGTGGGTGCACTGATGTGGCACACCATAACATTGACTAAAGAAGATTTAGATAAATTTAAAAGCTTAAGAGTCATCATAAGGATTGGAAGTGGCTATGATAACGTTGATGTCAAAGCAGCAGGTGAAATGGGTAAGTTGTCAGCTTTAAAAAAGAGGGGGGGGGGGCTTTGGTTACCATGATGCTCAGCGTAGAGAAATGAGGGACCAATAGCTGATCTACCAGATTTCATTTTTTTTTTCATTTCTGTTTTTGTGTATGCATGTAAAATTTCATGATCTTGTAAAATTACCATAGTATGCACTTTAGTATAGATTGGGGAAGCCCCACTTTTTAGTTAATTTTAAGCATACATTTTCTTTAACTATGACTGTGCTTTATAAATAGGTAACTTTACTAAATGAAAGCTTTTGTTTGGAAAATACATTTAAAAGAAAAATTTAAATAATATTTAGAAACCTATTTCTATTCTTTATTAAATGTTCATAGATTTAGGGACAAACCCATTTTCTGAAAATATTCCCAATATTTGTGATTATAGGAAAAAGGATTTTGATTATATGGAACATTCTGAAAAACAAATTTTCTTTCAATTAATATCAAGAACTTAAATTAAAACACTGCAAGTGCAGAAATAAATATTAAAGGTCTCTTTAATAGTAGGAGTAAATACCATCTAGATGTTAGACTGTAAAAAATCCTTTAATTTAAATTGTAATATTCCCTCACATTTATTATTGTAGAAAAAGTATGACCAATATCTGAAAATATTCCCAATATCTGTGATCATAGGGGGAAAATGATTTTGATTACATGAAATATTATATGGTAAATTCTGCAAAACAAAATCCTTTCAGCTAAAATAGTAACTTAAATGTAAACACTGCAAATACAGAAAGAAATAATTTAGTTATCTTTAAAAGTGGAATTAAATCCCGTCTTTAGGTTAAATTAACAAAGTAGTTTATTTAGAAATACTCCCTCACATTTATTATTGTAGAAAGAAATTTATGAAATGTACAAATACTGGGACTATGATCGAAAAGTTTTCCTTAAAATATAACACAATTGTTTCTGAAATAGTTACTGCTAGTTTATGCATGTTATGGTTTGTGGAATAGGGGCTCGTCATCTGTGGCTCACAGTTCTCCCCAAAGGGACTTTGAAAAGGTTCAAGTGGACTCTAAGCTGCATTTCCCTGTAATTCTTAAATATGCTCTCAAAGACTTTTGTTCTAAAAAGGGAGATTGTTGTGTCATCTTGACAAAATAAGAAGTTTAAGAGCCCTGGAAAAACTCGTAACAATTTAGCATGAAGTATTACAATTTTTTTTTTTTAGAAAAGCTATCGGCTGAAAATTTCTAAAAGAACTTAATAATAGAAAAAAAATTAGACGTATAATTGCTTTTTTGCCATGTGAGCATTACGAATGAATAATCACTCCCCAACCCCCCCCCCCCATATATTTTAAATCAATATTAAGAATTGTCCATTTTTTCTTTGGTTTTTTTTTACAAAAGGAGATGCATTCATGACTTGTGCGAGAAAACTTTATTTTGAAGTAAACATGTATGTTTAGGGAGTGGGCTTTTCATAATTGTATTTAATTGCAATTTATAATTTGTGTAATCGTATGTGAGAAAACTGTACAAGAAGCAAGATACATTCCATAAATAGGCAAAACATTAATGATTGCATAGTGAAATTATTGAGCTGTCCAAACGTGCAGTACATATATATCAAGATATTCTGACTTATAACAATACAATATTTACTGAAATAATATGCAAAAATAAAAATGCAAGTAAAGACTTGATTCGATTTCATATTATGTTCTCCATTATCGAGGGAACTTTAATTAGTACAGATACTAGTTCGGTGCAGCAATTAAAGTTTGCTGCACTGCTCCAATACATTTTTTTCTTGTAGTATTAAAGCTGTTCGTATAAAAACATTTATTTTTAAATACAGAAAAGCAGCTCACAAATTGGAAATAGTCTTCAAAAAGGTTTTGAAGTTTTGAAACTGATTGAATTAATTAAGAGTACTTTTTTATGAGGTACTTGGTTTCATTTAAAAAAAAAAAAAGTAAAATAGTGCTATAAATAATAAAAACTATAAGACATGATCTGACCTTATTGCACAAAATTCTTTTTCTTATACCATGAACACAAACGTGTTTTGCAGATGTAAACAATACAGTGGCTCTCTTGATATTTACAGGTATTGCTGTATGTAATGTTCCTGGTTATGGTGTAGAGGAAGTAGCAGATTCAACCTTGTGCCTCATTTTGAATTTATATCGCCGCACATATTGGCTTGCCAACATGGTTCGCGAGGGAAAGAAGATCAATGGTCCTGAACAATTACGTGATGCTGCTCAGGGTTCAGCTAGAATCCGTGGTGATACACTTGGTATTGTTGGTCTTGGTAAGTTCCCTTCTTTTTATAATTTATAAGGGCCAATAAATTTACCTTTTGTGTCAAAGTGAAACCAGTGTAGTCTTGATAGAAAAAAAAAAGCCTTTAAATTGGCTGTTAATGCATTATGTAAGATTGAAAATGTCAACATAATTAACAACATAAGAACCCCCACTTTTTGTAATGCATCACCGATTTATTCTGCAGGTCGAGTTGGAACAGCAGTAGCTATTAGGGCAAAAGTATTTGGGTTCAATGTCATCTTTTATGATCCTTACTTGGCAGATGGTATTGAAAAGTCTTTAGGTAATCTTTTGAAGTCTTTTAATAGTATTTTAATGAAGAATCTCATTTTATATTTAGTTAGCAAAATTCCTAACATTTATTAAATGTTTTAAAACACTATATCTTAAACATACTAAGGGTTTTGGTGCACATGAAACTATCTCTCCAGGTATTACCAGAGTTTACACACTTCAGGAGCTACTTTTCCAGAGTGATTGTGTGTCGCTGCATTGTAATCTGAATGAACATAATCACCATCTAATAAATGACTACACAATCAAACAGATGAGGCCAGGTAATATGGAAATTATATTTATTTTAAATCTAATAGTTAAACCCAATAAGAAACTTTTTCAGCAGCTATCTTTTTCTTTATTCATGTTTCCATCTTGATCTTACCCCTTATATTCTTTTTCAGTTTTTTCTCCCCATTCCTGTCTCATGTGTTTAAAATAAAAATTAATTAATTAAAAATTTTCAGGAGCCTTTCTTATCAATACTGCACGAGGGGGTCTTGTAGATGAACATGCACTTGCTGCAGCCTTAAAAGATGGTAGAATACGAGCTGCAGCACTTGATGTTCAGGAAAATGAGCCACTTGTTTTTGCTAACAGTAAGAATGAAAACTTTTTAAAGTCTTTTTAGTAGAGAAAAAAAATAAAATGCTTATAAAATTGCTATAACAAAATATCTTCCAACATAATAAAAATTTTCTATATTTTTGTTGACTTAACATTTTGTATATTCTTTAGGTCCCTTAAAAGATTGTCCCAATCTCATTTGCACACCACATTCAGCATTTTATAGCGAGCAAAGTGTTACAGAATTAAGAGAGATGGCGGCAGGTGAAGTGCGGCGAGCAATTTTAGGTCGCATTCCTGAAAGCTTAAGGAATTGTGTCAATAAGGAGTATTTCACCCCCACCACTAGTAAGTAAAGTAAGAGCCTTTGAATTTCATTTTTAACTTGATATTAATTATCAATTGTGCAACTAATGTTTTATGCTGTTTATTTTTAGTTATTTTTTAAAAATTGTTTCTGTTTTGTTTTTTTTTTCAAAGGAAGATTTGAATTATATAAATTAACTTGAGAAAATCTGCTTGAAAAAATGTGTATTACTCAATCGGCGCAATATTGCATTAAAATTTAGTTGCACATACTTGTTGACCACTTTTAAATCTGGTTTTATTATTTTTGTATCCATTTTTATCTTCAGTTATTTTTTATAGTTAGCGTTTTCCCTATTTAATATATATTATAGTTTAGATGTTAGTCTTACCTGATAGCATGCCTGATAGCAATACACTAAATAAATTTTTGATAACCCCAAGTTTGTTCCATATCTTTCTAAAATAAATGCTTCATTGTTACTTCAATAAATAAGATAAGCAGAGATAATCTTATTTTTAAAAGTTCATTGCCTTCACAATGGTCACCATTTTGCCTCAACTACCTACCAATAGTTAATTAATAGTACAGAGTCTAATTCAGAGTCTTAATTATAGTTTTATCAATATCACTTTTTTGCATCAATTTTAATAGATTCTACATCAGTCTGATACTTTCATGAACTCATCTGGTGAATACACTTTTAAAAATCTTGGTGGGCCATGATTAACTTCCAACTCTTGTAACTTAGTAATGAGAAAAGCTAAAAATATGGCATTGTTCATAAGCTATGTTTGGTCTTGTTAGAACAGCAGTAAACTGTATGGTAGGTTTCTAGGCCACCTACACAGGCTTCATACATTAAAAGGCGGTTTGCGGCACATGAAGCAAGAGTAGGTTAGAGGTGCATAGTCCCTATAAATTCTTATTTCAATAAAGTGTGCTTTTTTTAGTGGAACAACCCAACTTTAAGTCTGTACACTTTAAAATGGCACTTTAAAAAAAACTAGATTACTTATTTCATACTTATAAAAGTTTATGCAATTATTTTATTTCTGGAATAGATATTCCCAAGGCTAATATAATTTATATCATGTTCTGTATGCTAACTAGTGCAATGTTTTCTAATGGACCACTTTATTTTTAAAAACTTTCAAAATTTATGACATGAAATGTACAGGATACAAATAATTCATTTAACTATGATTAGAGCTGAACATATTATGGTTCACCAGCAAGTGCTAGTGTGACAGGGACTATTGCTTTTGCAGTATTAGTGGTGAGGGTGGTCAAGATTAGTAGTCTTTCTAATTAAGGGTGTAATTTATGATAGTGTGAATTAAATTATATGAATAAGAGATTTTTAAAATGTAACAAATTTATCCTCCCAGGTACTGTGCGCTATCCGTTCCCCCCTGCAGGCCCATTTGATAGTATAAATGGCGCTGCTGGTTATCCAGGATTTAACCCTGCTGTAGCAGCAGTAGCTATTCACTCAACAACTGACCATCCAGCTGTGTCTCATGGAGGAGCTATTTTGACCACTGCCCACTCTGCTCCAGACTCTGGAAATCATGTGCCCAAACCAGAGAACCCCAGTCCTGTCCACTAAGGTGGGATCTGCATGGGAGGAAGGTTGAAGGCAGCATGTACTCATGAACATAAACATTTGAATGGGCAGGGTTCAAATCTTCGAACCTTGTCATCACCAGAATGTCAACGGTATCATATTGTGTGGATGAGATGTTTTCTTGCTTTAGATTGTGGAATTTTTAATATTTCATTTATTTTTATATATACAAGACCAGGCAAAACTTTACATATGGTTTCAAAAGTCTTAAAACATCATGTTATCAACCAGTTTAAATTATAAAAGTTGTAAATGTATTTTATTTTCAAATTTATCTGCTTGCGTCATAAAATACTTGAGTGGATTCAGTTGCTGCTAAAAAAGTAACTTAGTCAAGATCTGATTCTTCCAGTAAAAGTAGGGAAACAAAAAATATCAAGGATTTTTACATCTGTTTTGTTACCTATATTGTCCAATGTGAAGTGTATGTTTTGTAACTATGTGTATGTACAATTTTATCATATTATTGATTTCCCCTTATATATGGAGGGAGGGAGAAGGGGGATAAAAATTACTGGGCAGTTCATTTGTAACCACTGAAGTAGCTGTTCCAAGAGAAAGTATAACGCAGTAAAAGTTATTAGATCGATTAAATATCAAGTAAAATATAAACAAGAGTTTGTTCAGAGGCACAACTGCAACTGATAATGCCGCTGAATGGCTTATGTTAAAATAATCTAGTGTTAATAGTTTATTTTGATCACCTTTGTTTTATAGTAGAGGCTTTCTTTGTTCGTGCTCTAGGCAATTTGCAAGCCGCCAAAGATCCTGAAATTAAGTCCAAATAAAAATAATTTTTAATACAATTATGTGCTTGATGGGTTGTGTACTTGAGGTTTAAATAAAGAATAGTTTTAAAAAAAATGTTTGTTTCATTTCTTCTCATGCTTTTAAAAATGACGTATCAAGTGTTCCTGTTGACGATATGTTGAAACAATCATATACAATAAAGCATAGCTTATCTATATATTTTGTACAACTCCACATGAATTGTCTGCATACCCAATTATGTATCTTTTTCTTTCCAATGTTATTAATGAATTACTATTACATGGATTCAAAGATATTTGGCTAGTTCTGGACCATTACGCAGCGTATAATTCTACAGTCTGATGCATTTTCATTTTATAATTCAAGAACTAAATGAGAGCTTTCTCGTTAATTTTTTCAAGAATTTTATCTGCAGATTTAAAATATAAATCACTGCTGTATACATTTGAATAGGTTGAAAATAGTCTCTGCTGGATTTTAACTGGGATAGCTTTTTCAAAAAAATATTTGCTATAATCACACAAAAAACAAACATACTGGGATAAGGGTATTACTTTGTAGATTTTGATTTTAACATTTGCAGTGTAATTTTTTCCTATTGACTCTTCACTAAGACATTGTATTGGGGAATAGCTCTCCTTAAACCATTTTAGCTTTAATTAGCCTTGTAAAAGTTACCATTCATTCATTTGTGAAGAGTAAAGTGGCGTATCTATCTAGTAATACATGTTCAATATATCATTTTGCTAGAGTCTTGAGTTTCATGCTGGCTTGTTTGCCTGGATTGAGCTACACCTTAAAAATGTATATAATGTAAATATATATCCATGTAATCTGACTTGTGACTTTTTTTTTATTTTTGCTACTCATTTTATCATTCATTAACTAGATTAATTAGGATAGACTAAAAATGTCTTTAATTTGGTGGACATTCAGTGCTGAATCAAAAAATTTCTCGCAAATGTTTGAGAATGTAATGATCTGGAATGCTTATCAACCATTATAACTTAACAAAAAGTCCATGTCAAGAAGCACTAAAGCAACCCAATTTGTTTTTATATAATGGACCAGCAAGGAGTCTCAAAACCTTTTCTGTTTTGTTTTTTAGCACTATAATATAGTTTGTTGTAATTTGTAGATGTCCTAGAGTAAGTAAATTAATACGGTACTATTGAAATGGATGTGGAAGGTTTAATAATTTCTGAAGTACTTTCATGATCATAGCTAAATAATTTTTTTCTAAAAATCCTGTGGTCACCTCTGATTCAAGGGGTATATATACATTTTTACTTATTATTTTAAGTTAAGTCATGAATGGAAGCCTTCCAGAGGACCAGACCTAAGTATCATTTACTATTCATTTATTAGGGAGCTTGTTGGGGTCTTGTGAATATCTAGAACAATGCATAAGTTTAAGAGCTGTTGTCTTATTTCCTGTTTTTAAAATATTTTTTCTGTTATACTTTTGGACACCACTTACTCTGCATGCATAAAAATGTTTTTGGTCTCTGCAAGATTTTTTTTACAATTCTTTTTTTCAATCTATCCTCATCCCCATATCTAAGAGCCAATTTCTTAGGTTAAAGTTAAAGTAGCTGATTAAACTTTAAAGCTCAATTTAAGTTGTATATTAATTGACTGTTTTCACAGAACCCTTTCCAATGAAAGTGTTATGGTTTAACTTGAGAGTCTATACAATGTTATCATAGCATGGCTTCTCAGTTAGATTGTTCCTCAAACTATGAGTATGAGGTAAGGTTTGTAAAATATAAACTGCAAACTGACACATATTTTTTCCCCAATTATGAACATGTATTTTAACTTTGTAATTATGAGTACTAAAGACAACATAAGCTATAGCAATTAATTCTGCATGTCTTCTTTTCAAGGCCATGGAGATAATGTTGGGAAAGGACCACCTTCTTAATTTCAAATATATATTCTACTAAGCCAAAATGAACATTTGCTTTTGTCCTATGCATTGTTAGATGCATTAAAAACAGCAAACTCCCATTAGTCTTTTGTTTAAAAATATAGCAAAATCTATGCATTCTTACTCTTAAGTTACTTGCATAAAATCCAGTGGGATTTCAATAAAAAGTGGTTGACCTTTCAAGGATGTGCAGCACCAGATAAAATAAACATCATACTTCATAATAAACAAATAATTGCTTGTTGAAGTTCTGTATTTTGTGACAGCTGATCGATACATCACAATTGTAAGATCCTTGCACTAAAATATTCTTTATGTCCACTTCATTACCTGTTTGTGTATCAGTAACATTTGTTACAATCATTTTAAATGATTTATTCCCCCTTGGATGTTTTTGATTTCAACCAATATGAGTAGATGTTTAGCTTTTTTTCCCCACCCATAAAAAGCCTACTGACATTGTTGTAATAGTCCTGTAAGGATGTTTTCTTGTGTGTTTTAAATAGAATCTTAACAACCTGATAAGATTACTGAAGTATAAAGAGTCCAGGAATCATACATAATCATCACAAATTTTACAATGTGCTTTTAAATGTGGGGAAATATCAGTTGTTCTGCTTTTATCTTCCACAAGAACTTGTTAATAAAATTACATGACTTTTGTAACAGGTCTTTGTTTTTAAACAATTATGGTTATGAATCTTCTGTTCAATGTTCAACACACATTAAAAAAAATTTAATACATTACCTGTATTAACTGCATATAATGAAAATTGAGTGGTTTTCACCAATTGTAGTCACCAAGTTAAGCATAATGACAGTGGACATAATCGTTGAATTGAAATTGAAGGTCTTCAATTATACAAAGTAATGTAATTTTTAAAATTATCAGGCTTATACTATAAACTTTTACAAATTTCTAGGATGAAGTGTTAACTACAGGGAAGCTTCAACAGTGGTGACAATGACAAGCAATAGACTATAAAAAAATAAGATTCTGTATTTTAATGTTAGGATTAAAGATAGAAGATTAAACTACCAGGTATAGAGTTTGAACAACCTCTAATGTAGATTTGCATTATTATTATTATACCTTTTTAAGTAGCGGGTACCCCTATCAAATTTTATTATTCAAATTACCATACGAGTACATTAAAAAAAAAAAACAATTTAGGCATATCTTTAAAAAGAACTTTTTTTTAGACAGATTTATTTTCAAAGCCAACTAAAAAGTAGAAACTAATATTCTTAAAATTCTCTACTTAAAGATTATGCAAAAGGTTAGAAAGAACTTTATGACTATGAATCATGAAGCCAAAGGACTCCAATTAAATGTAGAGGAAACTTTTAAATGTTTTTTTTTCCTTCTAATTTTTAAAAATACTTTCTTTCTTCCAGTACTGGTAAAAAAAAAAAATCTACTTTAATTTGCTTAAACTTGTCTTCCGAAAGAAAGTCTTAAAAAAAATTTTTTTTTTTCTATTTTCAGTTTTAGTACAGGTACCGTAATGGTATAAAACTTTTAAACAATTTTAAGATGATCAAACGACCAAAAAAAATTGGAGTAGCAAGAAAGTCTTAGAAGAGTTTAAAGCAGAGCCAAATCGCCAAAAATTAATTTATACTGGTACGGGTATCACAAAAAATGTGATGGCTAGATCTTCAAATCGTATGGTCCCTAGTAATCAGTAAACTTTGCCATCTAAAATCAATGAGCTTAACAGTTCATTGAATTTTCAGTGAAGTTTATTTTTAAATCTTTAAATTTATTTAAGCAGTTAAGAATGACTTAAAAAGTCAGTCATAGGCAAATTTTATTGATTGCATGTGGAAATTATTATTTTTATAATTGTGAAAGATTTGTGAATGACCAAACCCAACAATCTACATTACTGCAATTTTCCGTAAGCAGTGCAGATCAAAAATTATTTAGATGACTCATTGCCAGAGAATCCATCAACCAGACCAGCATGGGCGCCTCAAGAAAATAGCTTGGTGACTAAATTTTGATAAATGGCTGACTTGGTTGAAAAGGAAAAAAAAGGTCTGATTTAGAATTTTCCAACTAGTTTGAATAAATAAATTATAAAGCCCCAAACTCTTAACAGAAATTATGTGAATCGCAAAGGATCATAAGAACATGTATATGTATCCAATCTGGCCAATATCACAAATCAAGTAGAACATATTGGTACTGCGGGGAGAAAAAAATGGGATCACAAAACACCTTTGACTTTGAAAGAACAAATCTTCACATAAAATATCTCTTATCAATTTCAAGTTGGATTTTCAGAATGATGCTTTCTAGAACACACACAACCTCCCACTACTACAAAGTTCTTGCCTGATTTGGAAAAAATCCTGATTAACTACCATATGTTTTTGTTCATGGCTGGGTGGCGGACAGGCAAAATTTTCGGGCTGATTATTGACCCACTTCCTGTCAACCACAATAGGCTCGTTGCTGATGACAACACATTCTATAAAATGTTCAGCCCCAACCCACAAATTAAGAGTTATTCCTGTTTTTTCAAGGGGAACATGATGGAAAATTCCAGATAAATGACTAAATCGGATTCTTAAAAAATATATAGCAAATGCATTTGGTGCATAATATTTTCTTTTGTTTTTCTGAAATTTCAGTGAAATACTCGGTGAAAGCAGAAGGGTTTTTATAATATTAATATAGTTCAGGGGGTGTTAAAAGAGTATGCCGTTGCGAGCCTTGAGGTAGGGAGCACTATTTGGGATTCTTATAAAGTGCAATACTTGTATTCTTGTATGCATGTTTTGTCAAATTTTCAGCTCCACCCAAAAAACTCTACATTACATTTTATAAAGGATTTATACAAAAAAGGTTTTAGGGGTTGTTAAATTGTTCTCTTTATTACAATATTTTTTGCATGGCTATGATGGACATTTAAAAGGTGCACAGGAGAAATATTAAAATACTGTTAACAATAATTAATGGTCTTCCAAATATGTAATACTTTTACTTCTGTATATAAGTTCATAGACTAAAGGTACGGTATTAAGAATGCCAATGAGTCTTGGAAATTAGGTTGTTGTCTGCATTTCCTGATACCGGTACATGACAATGATTATGATGGACATTAAAAGAGGCACAGGAGAAGTATTTAATTAAATAACAATAATTGTACCAGTACCAGTACAGTATTCTTAAAATTTGCTGGATGGTCCTAGGACTGAAGACTATTTTTTTTCTTTGATAGGTAAGTTCATAGACTAAAGATATTAAGATTGTCACTGGGTCTTGGAAATTCTGATTAGGTCGTTGTCTGTATTTCCCGATACCGGTACTGGCAGAGTAGTCTTGAGATCTTGTGAGCTTTCCTGCTCAACACTAACACTGACAGGAACATTGTCCGAAACCTCATTGTGTACCAGTACAGAATTTGTGTCCGTTATACATGGCTGAGCAGAAATGATTTCCCTTTCTTTAAAATTTAAGGCATCATCAGTGAAAATCATTTGCCCAGTCTCTGATGTTTGGTTTGTTTGTCTCAGTGCATCTGAATCTGTTGACAGGTCTGGTGAAAAATCATTTGCTTGTGCCTAAAAGAAATGTTCAGTAAGTACAGTATATAAATTTATGTTAAATTTGTTGGTTATTTGTTAAAGAAGTTTGCAAAGAAGTTTATGAAAGCTACCTACCTTAAAATAATAATATTTTGTCACATAATTACTTGGATCTTTATGTGTTAAGTAAATGCTTGCAGCTTGATAAAACCCAGATTTTAAAAATGTGAATGTTTCAAAAAGCCCATGTTGCTATTTTCACTAAATTCTTTACATTAATGAAAAAGTTTGACAGTATTATAAATTAATAGAATAAAATATTGTAGTTTATGAAAAGAACAAATTTAAATGTATTGCACTTGAGTGTTAACATGTTTATTTCTGTTCTAGCTCTCCTACTGTAATTGTCAGAGTTTACATTAATTCTTACTGTACCGGTAATGGTAAATAGAACCATGTGATATATATGTGGAGATTAAACAGTTGGTAAATTTAAAAAAAACCAAAAAAACCTAAGAGTGGGTTATATCAAAGACAGAAAAAAACCAGCTCTGAATGGAGAGGAGAGATATGTGGAACCATACTTATAGTGGTGGACAAACCAATTTGGTAAAAATTTGAAAAAAATCTCATTACCTATGCAATATTCTATTTAAAATACCGTAATAGTTAAAATCTTCAGGCAGCTGATAAATCTGTCAAAACGTCTGCAAATGGGCGATGACCTACTATCTCCTAAATAATCTGTGCACCCTAATATTTAGGATGCCTTCACACTTTCAAATTTCACTTGACTTTTTATAGCATTGAAAAAATATAAGTTCAGCTTACCAGTAAATATATGGTATATACCCAGTACGGGTAATATAATTATTAAACATTTACCTTCTCTTTTAAAATTTTAATTGTGTGTCCCCATGGCTTTTCTGGCGCATCTGGTCTTGGTTGACCAAAATTGTGAAACTGTAATGTCCGCAACCAGTTAAACATACTATATGAAGAAATTAAGGAAGAATATTTGTAAAGAACTTTTAATTTATACCTATCCAGAACAATACAATTTTATGAAAATTGCATAAAGGATACACTCTGTTTGTTTTCTCCTCAGCAACTATTGTTGATATTATTTGTTCTTCTTTGAACTTCTCTATATCATCCTGTAAAAAAAAAAAAAAGCAAGCAATCAATATTTTTCCTCCTTTCATGAAATGATTCATTACCAGTAGATTCTTAAGGAGATATACTTTTTCAGCTGACTTATATGACTATTTAGATATTTTAAAACGAAGTACCGGCGGCAGCTCTATAACAAAAACATTGCGTAACGGTTATATAGTTAAAATAAAAATCAAACCCCTAACTATAAGAATACAATAATTAAATAATGACTGGATATGGACAATGGATTCTGGCAAAAATGTATTGGTAATGAACAACTTAAAAAAGGGCTAATAAGTAGCATATTCTGTATATGTCTGTCTGCTTTTCATAATTCCTATGGAGAGAGAAACTTAAAATATGTTCACTAAATTTAATTTAGACTCTTAAATAGAAAATTCAACAACCTTATAGCGTGACCAGTCTATACAATCATGAACTCCATCCTTTCCAAATTTCTTGTTATATCCATCAAAATGAAGCTGTAAATATAATAGCATATATTCAAATTTAATTAATTTAAATTTCAAAGAATTTTGAATAGCATCTATGTTTGACAATATAATAACAAAAATAGCATTTAACAGACGAAAACAAATGAATACAAATTTACCTCCTCTAGCACAAGTCCAAGGCCTGGAGCTTTTGGAATATCAACCTGGAAATATTTAGTTCAAAATTAATTTCATTACAGATCATTTCAAGTCCACTGGAAAAAGATTACCATACAGTATTCAATGTTAGTGAAAACTAAATAAATCACTCTTTTTTCTTATCTTAGTTACCAACAAGAAGATACTGTTGCCGTTACACTTGAGATAAAGAAAAAATAATTCCAGGTTCAGATTTTAAATTTAAGGAAAAACTTACCTTGTCAGGTCCCCAGCAAGCATCTATAGTTGATTCCCCACAGTATCCTCGGAGGATAGCAATGGTTAAGCCTTTAAAATAGAGATTGACAAGAAATGATAAGCAAATATCTACACAATATTGTAATATAACCATACTAGCTTAAGTACCTGTTCTATACCGGGGTAGCGAGCATTTTTATTGGCACATATTGATAAAGTAATGACTGGCTATGAAGTTTAAATTAACGGGTGAAAATTTCTTGGTGTAAACTCTGCGGTCTTTCTTTAAGTTGGCTTATTTGTCAGTTCCAAAGACTTTTACCTTGACTTGAAGAAAAAGGTTTTCTGATAGGACATTGTCCTCACTGGCTCGCATGTTATGGTCTAGCTTTAGCACCTGAATATTTTTAAAACAGTTACTATTCTTCATGCCCTTAAGATATAGAAGAAGAAGTATTTTGGTTCTGCTGCCATATGGAACCACAGGAAGAATTTGTCTAAAATCTACGCCACAAAAGAAAGATCGCACATTCAAATGATTTTTTAGAAGGATCTTTTCGACCTTTGGCTACAAGTTCATTGTATTGCAGACCTGTTTACACTCAAACTCTTAAAATCGTACAATATCATCACAAAATTGTTCAATATGTTATATTTAGAGTAAAAAATAAACATACAGTATATACAATCTATACACCTCAAAATCGTAAGAGTAAACAGGTCTGGTATAGTGTGTCAACTGCATTTACTCCATGTGCTGGGGTCATTGAAGCTTCATCCCATATTATCACTTTGGCCTTTTTGAGTTCATTTGACCTATAAGTCCATGTCAAACATTAAATTTTGATGATTTATTTATTGGAAAGGGTAACTTGATCCCTCAAGCTAAGTTGCGTCCATTCCTGTAAATGCACACTTCATTTTTACTTCGCAGCTTGTGCATGATTGTGTTGTAAAGGAATGTTTTACCATTTCTGCCAGATCCATCAATAAAGAACAGACGTTTGGGTAAATAACCTAAGGCCGTATTCCAAAGGATCTGCTGTATGGAGAGTTGACAGAAGGGACAAGGCTAATTGGAAGGCCTTGGCTGCGATTAAATTAAAGACAAATGGAGCACGAGAGAAGCCAACATTGAAAAAACTAAGGGGACATCGCTGAGCATCATTCCAGCTGGCAAACAGCAGTGTATGTAGGAGTAAAAATAGGCAGAAGGTGCGGGAAACACAGCCCTTGCAACAGAAAGAGCAATACGGAAAGCCAAATCTAACCAGGAGTCAAGGTTCTCCTGAGGGAAATGCAGCAGAGGCTGCCATTAGAGGATCGGCCTGGTAAACCATATGATGAAGTGTACATAGCTTCTCTGCTGTGTAGCGAAGATGGAAGGATGTCACATATATCATACAACTAGTTTCCATAATGTTTAAAAGCCTCTCTTCTGATAGATATGATTCTAAATTCTGAATTACAATTAAAAAAATTATCTAACAATGATTAAGAATCATCAAATTTTTCATTTTGTGTTCGACTCTTGGTGACTTGGTATTATTTTCATGGCAGCACCTGAATGACATCTAGCTGAACACTCTAATTTAAGATTGAGACCAATTAATATTGCACAAATCATCATCATCCAGTACCGCTATTTGGGCCTTTCATTGTGTAAAAAAAACAACTTAAATCAGATAAGATACTTTTATTCATCCAAATAAATGGAAATTTGTTTTGAATACACTGCATATATTGTTTTCAATTTAAGAATTGAAAGTATTTAAAATTTTGTTGTTGATGTTTCCTAAATTTGGTCTGTACCCAGGCATTCAGTACCGGTGGTCAGATTAACTTTTATGTTGACATTTTTAAACAGAGTCTGAGCTTTTTGTTTGAACAGAGTTCTCTGCTTTTTTCCAAGATAATTGATAATCATAATATCTGTAGTCGACTTGTCTTCGGTTGTTTGTTTTGATCCCCCCATGTGTTCAGAAGATGGCAGATTCGTTGTTTTCAAGATGGCTGGTGTGAATATGTGGGCGATGCCTATGATGTCTGAAAATTCCACAATATCAACACACAATTAATAATCCAAAGCATGTAACACATTCACCACTTTTTGATTTCAAAGAAAGCATAAAAAAAACTCCAAGACAATTACAAAAGCTAAAAAAATAAGCACAGATGCAATAAAGTTGCCTGCAGCGTGGGGCCCCAGAAGTACTATCAGTATTATAAACTGCTACCTTACCTATCATTTTACGGATATGATGTAGCATAAAACTTTGTCCTTTCACCCTAAGTGTAATGAATTCAATGTTGTCTCTGACATAAGGCTCTGAGCACTGAAAATAAAAGACATTTAATTAGTAATAAAACAGAATTTAGAATAAAATAAATATGTATAAAAATACAAGCATCACATAAAGTATTTATCTCACTCCTGCAAAACGAACTTTAGCAGTCAAGTAAAGGGACATAATCTTATAGGAAACTTATCATTTATCTGTTTTATTAAACAGGGTTTATAAATTATAAATGCATGAAAATTAACAATCCTGAAATAGAATAAATAGTCAGTAATATCCAAAGCTGAACAGCAGTACATTTTGCAAGTTCCCTGCTATCATCAATGTCACCCTCAACATGGTAACAACATTGGTATTATATTTAGAGTAATTAGAGTCTGATTCAGATTCATTTCAATCCTAGGAGATTCAGTATCTTTTCAAAACATTCTACCTAATAAACTTCTCAGCCCTCTGAAAACCAGGCCAAACTCCTAGCAGAAATAGCGGTAAACTTTAGCAGTCATGTGCATAGTAGTTTAATACCAGGGTTCCAGAACTAACATAAACATCACACAGCCCTTGTGGTGAGTTGGGCAGGCGGCACATGTAAGAAACTATGAATGGGCTTCACTGTACATTAAACAGGAGAGGGTTATAATAGTTGTATCACCTCAAATTTTATGATGTATCTTGAAGCACAAGCTTGTTCAAATTTTCTGAGAAAAAAAACCAACATAATCTGTAGCACTAGTACTAAAAATACAGTCATGCAATAAATATACATAAAAATTGTAAGTTATATTATTGTTACAATTAGGCATAGAAAATATTCAAAACTTACATTTTTTAATATTACAATTTTGTATTAAACTTACACTCCAGATGTAAAATTATGAAACTTGTGTGTCCCTAAGAACCTTGATAGTACTTCATGTATTCTGTCCAATATTTCAGCTGAAAAACAATTTTTAAGAGAGAATGAATGAAAACATATAAATATGAAAAAAATGACATCATTTTAAAACCATAAACATATATTTAACAAGCTTGTTGATAAAAGTTTGTCCCTAGACACATGGAATGTGCTCAATTTGATGGAAATGTGTAGTTACTGCATCGGGCTCATGTGAATCTTGCAAAGCTTGAACTTTGCATCAAATATGGTGAAAGATGTTAAGAAATAATTGTAAAATAGGTAAAACTTTGTTAAAGCTGTTGAAAAATATACATTTCACTTTAGAGACAACCAGAACGGCATTAAAATTAAATAAATATTTTTCACTATAAATTATAATTGATCACTCACGACTGGTTCTGTAATCATCAGTGATAAACTGAAAAAAAATAGAATAATCAGATTAAATTAAGCATTTTTAATTATCTGGATAGTCAGGGCCATGCAGAGGATTTTTGGGTGCAGAGCAAAGGCATATTTTCGGTCCCCACAAATTTAAAAATAATTATATGACGTACGAAGCATATTTGTACCCCAAAAAATTGTGCACTTGGTGGCTCTCATGCGAGCAAGACACTGAGTGATTCCCTCTTTTGCCTCTGCACCGCCCTGTGGATAGTTATTGCAAGTTTTCAAGCAACTCATTTCCAATAAAGAGGACTAAATTTGTTAATTTCTTATGCTAACCTTTTCAAATGGAGCAAATGCAAAAGTTGGGGTCATATACATGTAAGTTCTACTGTCACACCAGTTTTTTGAATCATAGCCATTAGTTGTGCGAACATACCCTGTAGAGTAAAGTGTCATTTTACAATTTTTGTTAAATTGTTTTGACAGTTTCAAGGCCAATTAAGCAGTAAAAAGTACATTGTCTGTTTGAACTGATAATTAAAGTATAAGTATTAAGTATTTATTCTTTAATTATGATAATTATACTTATTCCAGTTTTTAACATGATTTGAAACTCATAATTAACCACTTAAAATATTGCATTCAGTTGATTAACAAAAAACTAATTTCATGTGTATGCTATAGTCTTATTTTAGTACGTTTACAAAAATTATATTACTTTTTATAGGAACCCAATTCAGAGCCTAGGCAGTGTTAAAAGTTTATAAAGATGTTGAGAAAATGAAATATTTAAACAGTTTTACAAAAGTCAAAAACATATTGTTTCATTTCAAATATCAATATGCAATATACATTTAAATGCAATAAGTGCAGCCAGGTGCAACAATTTTTAATTTTAAAACAAAAGAACTCACAACTTACCTATGGCTCTTATTTGTGACGGTAGGACTTCATTCAATTTTGCTATTAAATCCGGCACCAGAACTACGTATTAGGAAAAAACAGACATTATTTCTTTTAAACGTTCTTTAACACAACTTGGAGGGTAAAAAGTCAAACTGAAATTTTATAAGACATTTGGTGCAACAAGTAGAAATGAAAAACTAACACTAGTAACACATTAAAAAATAAATTAATTTAAAAAAAAATAATTTATAATATTATTGCACAGTTTCATTATTATTATCTTAACATATAAATAACTTATCTTCATGGAGAAAATCTGACCAGCAGCTGATACACCTTTGTCTGTCCGAGACCCTCTTTGAAACCACATCTTTGATGGTGTATCAGCATGGTCCTGAGGAATAGCATCAATCTTCACCAATGCTGGGAAGAATTCACTTTCAATTGTTGGGAAGCCAGGATTTCTAATAGCAAAAAACAATACAATTTATATCACTGGAAAAAATGCACAAAATTATTGAAATATTTTATACTTAAAATTATTTTTCCACAAAATAATAAAAAAACCAGTAAAGTAGAACGCTGAAATCTAATTTCTAGAGAATTTATTTCAATTGTAATATTGGTATAAAGAAATTTAGAGGATTACCATTATTATAACAAAGTTTATTTATAAATATATAAAATTCATTTGCTGCCCTCTTGGATACTACTTCTAAGCTAAGTGCTATTTTTTAATTTTATTCTGTTTTTTCTGGGTTTTTTCGCTGACGAAGGCTTCCTGCCGACACGTTCGTTGGTTTTTTGCGTTCCTTTTTTAGGTTTAATTCTATTTTGTTTTACTAATTTCATATTTTATTTATAAGTACCAGGTATACATACTTATATATTTACACTATTGTAGTGCGAATTCATTTCACAAATTGCAGAAAATATTTTGTAATATTTTTTATACACAATATATTATTTATTAATTAGGCTCTTAATTTTTTAATAGTTTAGTGACATGAATAAGTAGGATGCAAAAAATGAAACAATCAGTAAAACAAAGATGACTCTTTATTAGTACGGGATAGGTCACATTAATTCAATATCAGGATTTCCTTTAAAACTATGCACCAAAATCAATATTACTTTCAACTCTTTAAATTTAAAAGGCCAAAAATTACTCACATCTGTACACCATAATATCCTGAACCATTATAAGCAACAAGCATAGCAATTTTTCTTTTGCATCCCTCTGACGGACCTAAAGAAACCTTTATTTAAAAAAACAAAATATTACATTTTAAGTAATCAAAATTAAAAAAATTTTACAATAACTATTTTCCTAGGAAAATAACTAGGAAGAATAACTGAGAAAAAGATGGGAAGATAATATTAAAGAATGGATAGGACTAAAACTAGGCAATGCTGTGCGAAGTGCAGAAAACAGAGAGGAATAGAGAAGGATAGTTTTCATGTCAAATGTGGCGACCCAACGGTCCATGGGACATGATGATACTTTTTTTCATTATTGAAATGGCAAAAATTTGACCCACCAAGGGTGACACTATCCCGAACTATGCCACTGCCAACAAATAATTTTTCTGACAATAACTTACCACATGAGTCTTCTTTTTCTTTGACTTTTTCTTTAATGTTTTATCATCCTCAGTTTCTAATGATCTTTTCTAAGATAGGGAGAAAAGATTATTGTACATTGATGAGTATCTTTATTTTCATATCGAGAATTCCATGTAAAATTGGACAAAACATCCAAAAATTATAAATTTTTTTCTTCTTTTTCTTGTTGCTAATTTTTATGTGAAGCATGGTGATCCTAGCCCTTGGCGGGGTACAGTGCTATATCAAACTACTTTAATAATAATAATAAGATGTTGTCTGCACATTTTAATAGAAATTGTTTTGAATTTTTTTGTGTTTACATCTAAGATATATAGACAGACAATTTTTATTTTCATGGTCAATGTCACATGATGGACAAGCATTAAAACAGTGTTACTGATGTTTATTTAAGTGCTATAGTGAAGTAATTATAATTATATAAAAGAATTGACATCGTTGTTTTATTTTTAATTTTTTGTTATCAGACGTGCTACATCAGTTATAAAGTCATGTTACGTTGGTAACATTATTTTGTCGGGTTTTTAAAAAAAAAACAACAAAACAACCCTCTAGTAGTTTTTAAAGGTTTTCCATAGAATAGTAAACATAGAATAGTAAAGACTGCTGATAATTAGTTTTAAAATATATTTCAATTAAAGCAGATTTCAGAGGAAATCAACAAAAAATTATGCTAACAAATATTACATCTTTTTCATGTTATGTCAGCTCCAATTCAAAAATGTATTATTTTTACCATCATAATTAATATATATTTATAAATGCTCTTGTTTTACAGTCTATCAACTTAAGACCCAAAACCATGTATAGTTAAATTAACCACACTAAATAGTATTTTTCATTTATAATGGATGCAAATTATTTTTAAGAAAGTTACATCAGTTACATTAGAATTCACAATACTTCTATGCAAAATTACAGGTAATAAACTTTTGTAAATGACCAATCACATTATGGCAATAAATAATTAAGTTTATCATTTCAGACCTGTCATATCATAAGTTATAGAAACACAAACCAAAAATACTTACCCCCAGGGAAATGGGCTTTAATAAGCTTTCTGACATTCTTAAGAGATTAGAATTGATTCTTTGCAAGTATGTGTGTAATTTCTTTAGCATGTCTGAGAAGAAAATTAAGAATATAATTAAGGTGATGATTAATTTAAAATAAGTTATTCATCTCACAATACCAGAATAAGTAACCTAATATGGGAAGAATCTTGCAGATATGGTCAAGGCACTAATTTTCTATGACCCCCTCATATTTTTTTGTATAATTTTATATTGTATGATGATTCAGAAAGGTGAAGTGCAAGGTTCCAAAAGACACTCTGAGAGCCCAGCACCATTTCTCATTATCATAAATTTATATAGATAACTTATACGCCATAGACATTGGGAGTATAGCAAATAACTGAGATACTGAGGCTAATTATAGAAAATAAATATAGCATAGGTTTAACAATGGCTAATTTAAATAAAACAAAAGACGAAAGTGTTGCAAAAGTAAGCTCACTGTAAACAAATAACAACAAAAGCATTTCAAAATTATTTGGATAATATATTTTTTTTTTTATTAGTGTGAATGGATTATAGTTTAGTTATTCATAACTGTTTGCAGAGATAACTTAGCCTGTAATGCACTTAGTATAAGATGCGTGCAAGATAGGTATGCTCATATGTAAATTAGGCAGGCTATACTTATACTGGTAATCTACCACTTCAGCATCGGTTATTAAAAAAATAGTGCTGTTCCGTTTTGAATTGCTATTTAAATGGCTATTCTTTTATTGATGCCCATTAATAGTAAAGTGGAGAGATGGCCACTGGGTTTTTTGTGACATAGAAAGAGAGAGTGGGTGCTGAGTGAGTGCATGATCATTGTGCGATCCTGTTACAGGGATGCATAGAGAGATATATCCTTCCAGGCTCACTTATTTTATCGGACAGACGGGCGGCTTATGCAAACATAAATCAGATCAAACATGAAATCTACAAATACTCTGTTGTGGTTCATCAACAAAACTTTTTTGATCCAAATGATGCTGGGTTCCACACACAGACTGCTAAAAATATGTGGATGCGCACACATGGCGTAAACCGAAAAGACAGTTTGGCACAAGCAGCGATCTTTTCCCTTCATCATAATTGCATTAGATGAGTTTATGCTCTGCAATCATTTTCGTGGAGATAATATCGACTCAAAAACTTTTTTCTTTTCATACTTTTAAATTGTTAAAATTTTCTACTTGAAAAATTATTATATTGTTTAAATATTTCTCTTTGAAAAGTTGTCTTTTATATATTTATTTAAATTGTTAAAATGAATATATACAATCAACAATGTCCTAAAAAAAAATCTCCATTTATTTGGCTCAATAAAAGAACTTTATCGTATCAATAAAAGAAATTAAATAGCACTTCAAACCAGAACAACACAATTTTTTTAATAACCCACGAATAACTGAATAAGTGTTAATTTTCCCTTATTGAATATTCTAATACAAACTATATAACATATATTCTATACTACGCCATATGCAGTTTTATATTATAAACTCTTACCTAACTCATACCAATACTAGAATTACTATGAGTGTCTATCATTGCTGTAAACTGTAAGTAAGAGAAGTTAGTAAGTAGTAAGTAAGAGACTATAATATTGACTGATCATATTCATATTTGTCATTTGAGCGACATTTGACTATGAAATTGATGGCATCGGCTTTGTCATTAATGGCATACCGGTACTCACTTGACTCAGTATCATAATGAGAATACTGAGTCAGTGTCACTGGGATGGCAAATCATCCCCAATGTCAAATGAAAATTAAATGAAATGCCATGCAGCAATGAGCAATGCAAGTTTATAATTATTATTATTAGCCTTATCTTAATTTATTATTTAAATATATTATAATAGTGCCGTTATTTATGAGAAACTGGTCACCACAAAATTTTTCAAGCTAGCTAATGTTTAGCTATAAAATGTAATTAAATACCAAAACTGAATTATGAATAAGTGTATATATTATATACCTTTTTTGTATTACAAATAATTACACTCACCTGGTCTTTGGCCACCCTTTGCTAAAGCAATGTTATATTACTTAGTCAAGCTGATGTCAGAGTAGCTTCCCTCTACTTCTCCCTAATTGGTTGAAACTGGTTGAAACGTTTCGTTTTTTTCTTTTAACGTTGACACCGGCTGGGTTGAGTTGAACAAACGCAACGGTCCAACCTTCAGCAGATGTTGGGTTTCTAATTTTCTGTCTATAAATTATCTTTGTCTAGACGGCAAAGTGGGATTGAACTTCCAAACAATCAAATATGCCGTCCTCATCATTGCTGAGCAAATTTCGTAAGATACAATTTTAATTTTATTGTTATATTTTTAGCATTATAAGTATAAGTAAGGCCAAAGCCTAAGCGGACTAAGCCTACTTGATTGTTATATAATATAGGCCTAAGTATAGTAGTCTAGTATACTACCCTCTGACATATGGCACTCAAATGAAAAAGCTAGGCCTAGTTCGTTGCGGCCAATTTGGCTTATTTTATTCAACAATGACAATAATTTATCGAAATAGGGACCGGGGGGGGGGGGGCAGAAGGGAGGGGGTGGGATTTAAAAAAATTATAAAAAT